GCGAAAATGGGGCCTATGGGGAAAAATCACTTTGCGATTTTTCCCCATTGGGAACATCGCAATGCGATCACTTTTGCGATTGCAAAATCTGCATCGCTATGCGGATTCGTCGTTAAACGGGGCGCCTGTTAAGTGAGGCACCACTGTATATTTTAATTTTGAATTATATCAATCTGATCCCAAATCTGTTCTATTCAAATGCTTTTAAATAGAGAGGCAAAAAGCTGAACTGCTGATCACTGTGATAATTTGCCTAATTTATGATTTGGTGACTTGGGATAGAGCAAGATCTATATTTCAGTCATTATGGGGTTAATGTGATTGTCTTAACTGAGGTGGACCTCACCTGGAAGTGGGACCTACTTTAGAGCCAATGAGTTCTGTCTTCCTTGCTGGTAAGGCTGTACAAAAGGGGTTAAGTGCTTTTGTCTGACTCTTGAGAACTTCCTACCCTGATGCAGACCAACAGAGCAAGGCAGATACTGTGTGTGCTTGCTATGGGCATTGTGTTTTTACTATTTTTTGTTATTTGTTTTAGTAATTTGTTATTTCACCAGAAATGTCCTGTTTTTCTTAAGAGTCTTAGATGTCTGTTACTTTCCTACATTACTTTTTTCTCTGTGCCTTCAATTATTCCCACAAATTTGGTAGCAGAATAAGTTTTTTTGTTTTTAAACAGCAGATTGATAAGCTCCTTTTGAGAAGATGCTGAAAATTGGGGCTCTGAGTTTTTCTTACTCTCCCTTTTAAAGTTCAAACAGTGAAACAAAGAGCTTTTGGCAAACTTCCCTTTCCTTTTAAATTGGGGGATGTGTTGTCTTTGCCTCAGTTTACAGCCAAATAACTAAAGGAGTTGATTTTTGAGATGGCTAGAGATTTTCTTTTGCATTGAGAAGCCACAGAAGCCTTTTAAAATAATAAAGTCTTAGATGAAGTTTGTTACGTTTCTACTTTACTTTTGTTTCTATACCTTCAATTGTTCCCACAGTGACCAGATTAAAATCAAATTATTACACACTGATTGTCAAATACAGAGACAAATTTAGGAACAACTATAAATGCTCAATAGCTTACATTTTAAAATCACATCTAGTAGATCTTGTCAACTTATTTAATACATATCTTTCTTTTCCAGTGGAAAAGCATCTAGTACTCCCTTTGAAAGCAGTGGATTGGGTACATTTATTGACTGCATCTAAAGCCAGTACCCCTTCTCGGTCTGTTTGCAATTTAGCAGTTATGATACTCCAGCAGAGTGGTAGAATGCTTGTAAAATGTTGGTGGAGGACTCAGACAACAGAAGAGTATCTGGTTCTCCCACTCTTATCAATAAGAAGTTTATAGGATGCATATTTTCTTACTCTTATAGAAAATTAGGAGGCATTGTCTAATTCATCTGAATTTATCTGTTAGCCTTGGTGGAAGCAAATGCAATGCTTTGTGGATGGAAGGTCTTGGAGATACAAATAGCAGAATCAAGCTTTTCTCTTGAAATCAGGATAAAAACAAAAATGAGTTAACTAATATAAATGAAATTAAAATGAACAAAATTCAGATGAATGGAGACATAAACAAATAGAACTTGTGAAAAGCATAACAAATAGAAGAACCACATAATTTATTTTTATAATCCCTCTTTAATACTGTAAAGAGTAATGTAGGAATAAGAGTTATGTAGGGATTATGAATATAGTAGATTGCATAGATTGCAATCTTAATCACTGCTCATTTAGTTGGAATTGTGGCCCACGTGTGTTTGTAAGGTAAGATAAAGGTAAAGGTTCCCCTTGACAATTTTTGTCCAGTCGTGTTTGACTCTAGGGGGCGGTGCTCATCCCCGTTTCCAAGCCATAGAGCCAGCGTTTTGTCCGAAGACAATCTTCCGTGGTCACATGGCCAGTGCAACTTAGACACGGTCAAAAGAGTAAAGCATCAGGTTTTACCAAAACCTTTATCTTTCAAGTAACAACAAAAATAATGTAATATAATACTTAATTTTGGGCTGACACACAAATGCATCACTACAACTATAAATATACTGTACTGTAGAATATAACTACTTAAATGTGTGGAAAATATTTTTGTAAGACAAGGTGACAGGGGCAGCTCACTCCATAATTTCAGGTGAGTGGCTTCCATTGCGTCAGCCATGAGCTGTCTATGCAGGGTGGGAAAATAGTGCAGCATCTCAGTGGCTGTTTTTGTGGGATATGATCCCATGAAACTTCCCTTCTCCTTAGCAAAGGAAAATGTTTTCCCTTGGTTTGTATGTGTGTATGTGTAGGGACAATTGCTACTCCTGGTTAGAAGCCTTCATTGGAAGCAATGCACCTTTTAAATAGGTCATAAGGTCTCCTTTTGTTGTTTAAAACTTCAAAGTACATATCTGAAACAAGATTTCTGGTCACTTCAATGTTTTGTAATTTTGGTGGTCCTTGTGGATCCCAGAGACAGGAAATGTGTGTGTGTGTGTGTTAAATTTATGTGTAAAAATATATATATTCAGACAAAGTGAGGAGGTTTGGCAGGTCTGGGTGTGTGTGAAATATTCTGCTCTTGTTATAGTGTTGGACTCAGCAAACATGCGTTTTCACCATTTGGCCACAAAGTTCTCTAGGTACCCTTCAGTTATTTCAGGATGAATGAAAGGAAAGAGAGCCATGTATACCACATTGTCTCACTGGAATAATTCCAGAATATACTGTGCCCAAGTGGAGATTTGAACCCAGATCTCCTGAGTTGTAGTCCAACACTATAAATGTATATCACATTGGCCTGCTGAACCTGCCTAATTTGTTTGAATAATTCTTATAATTATTTCCATCTATGCCAAAGTATTTTGCTCCAGAAATACTAATATAGTAAGCTTATTTGACTCACTAATGAGGAGGATGTAGTTAAGTATGATATGTAGTCTTAGCTCCCACTCCATCCTTGTACTCTTTCCTTCAGCTGTTTCTCTTCTCCCTCATTTTCTTTCTTTCTTTTTTGTCACTTCCACCTGACTCCTCAATCATTAAGCTGTTTCCTTTCTGTATTTATCTCTTTTCCTCAGCTGTTTGAAGACTTCAGCTGTTGAGGAGGCCACTATGTGGACCTGGCTAGAAGTCTTGTAAAAAATGCAAGTTTCAGATCTCCCAAATTTTTCAATTACAGCTTTTGGTATCCGTGCTGGTTGGTGGTTTCTGGGAGTTGTCTTTTTTAAAAAAGTGGGGGGTTTACATGCTCTTCTATGAAGAGGAGAGACTCTTAATGGTTTCAATAGGAATTTATACCCAGTGTGATGTAGTGGATGGGGTGACAGACTAGGACTTAGGAGGTCTGGGATCGAATCCCCATGGAAACTTGCAGGAGTTGTGGAACTTATGAAACCATCCCATATATATCTCATCCTGAAAGCCCTCGTAGAGTTGCTGTAATTTGGTTCTGACAGCACATAATAGCAATAGAAGAGTGGGTAAATAAAAGGCAATAACCTAAATCATGTTGAGTAAAATTACAAGTGTGTAAGAGTAATAATTTGACTGGGGGAAGAAATTGCAGGCAATTAAAAAGTTCCTGATTCAGTCTCAAGGGTCATTTGACTCACCTGGAATTCACCTGCAATAATTCTCATTTTAGGTGAGTCAGGCAACCCCTGGGAGTACAGCAGGGAATTTTTAATTACCAAAAATCTCTTCCTACTGGTGACATCATTACACCTATACAGCTATAATTTATTCAGCAGGGTTTGGCCAGTGTTTACTTAATTAAAATTAAAAAGTGAATTTTACAAACTAAATAAAATTAATTTAAAATTAAATCTTCAAGGTTCCCTCAATTTTCATGCCAGGTTTCAGGTACTGCAGTTTTGGTACTATGAAACTGACAGACAAGGACACAAAGAGATAAACATTCACTCTTAATTGTTCTGGATCACTTGTTCAAACTGGGTATTATGATCCAACTTTATTGACTGTTGTTAACAGAAGGAAGTGCACTTGCATCAAATCATCACTGATATGTTGGAGTCATACTTCAGCAAAAAATACCTCACTGAACATACACAAGCTCAAACTGTAAGGTGATTTAGCAAGTACAGTGGTGCCTCGCAAGACTATTGCTTTGCATAACAATGAATTCGCTTTACGATGAGATTTTCAGAGCGATCTTGCACTTCGTTTAACTATGTTTCCTATGGGCGATTTCGCTTTATGATGTTAGGGACCTTACCTCACAAGACGGTTAAATTTTAGGTCCCTGTTTTTTGCTTTACGATGTTTTTGACAGCTTGGTTTGCTTCGCTATACGAGTCTTTTAATGGTCTCTGTTTCGTTAGATGGCTGTCTTCATTTGGGAACCGCGTTTTGCTTAATGATGTTTTCTATGGCAATTTTCACTTTACGATGACAATCCGTTCCCATTGGAATGGATTATCAGGTTTTCTATGTATTTCAATGGGAAAACGCGTTTCGCAAGACGATATTTTCGCGTAACCGATTTTCGCAACACGAATTAACATCATCTTGCAAGGCACCACTGTACGTGCTTTTGAATGCATTTAGCCCCAACTTTAAAATCTGAACATTAAATCAAAAGTGTCATGTCCCATTCTTCCCCTGGCTATCAGTTGCTGGGGTGGGGGTGGGGGGAACCATCAGAATAGAGATCAGGCAGGAACAGATCTCTCCTAACCTGAAATATTTGATTTATATCATAATACAATATAATTCATCATTAAGTAATATTCTATGCCAGATTCTTCAGTACTGCCGTGAGCCAGCTGTGCAATACCACTGTTGCCTAAGAAAGAAATGCTTAATTAGGGAGTGCAGAGATAGAGAGGCAATATTACAAATTTTCAATATCAAGGCATTATGACTTGTGTAAAGTTTGCTTTTCATTTGTTATCATGATGGTTGACGATTTTTCCCATGCTTGTTTGTTACAATGACAGTTGAAACAGTTTGGTTAATTAGGTAAAAATATTCCATCTGTGTCTTAATTTTTTATATGTACAGGTTGCTTGGAATTGAAGGAAGATACCATTGAAAACCTTCTGGCAGCTGCATGTCTTCTTCAGCTCCCTCAAGTAGTTGAAGTCTGTTGCCATTTCCTCGTTAAGCTTTTGCATCCGTCTAATTGTTTGGGAATCCGAGCGTTTGCAGATGCTCAAGGATGCACAGAGCTTATGAAGGTTGCTCACAACTATACTATGGTAAGGCAGTTCCAATAAATCTTGCCACATATAGAAATATTCAAAACATGTAAATGAATGGGGTTTTTCTATAATTCAAATGCTTTCTATGAATATTTTATTTTACATTATTGCTTTAGGATATAATCAGATAATTGTGTGGCGTCTGCATTTGTACACAAGAACTACAGTCTTAAAGGTTGCTCAATTAATGATACGTTGTCTGAAATTCTATCACATTTACGTACCATCAAGTAAAGTTATGCCTGCAGTACAACTTTACATTATATGCTTGACTGTGCAATGAACTACACAACCTAACCACACAGCTGTGTCTTCTGAATTGCTTCCTGGATAAGACTTCTGGCCTTTTTGCAAATTTCACTAATATTTAATATTTTAAAAAATTAAATGGGCAAAATCATTATACACAGTTACATATTGTTTTCACATACTGTAGCTTTATATATTTGTAGTTTCCGCTAAAATGCTAAAGTGATGCAATTTACTTTTTTAAAAATCAAAAACAACAAGCAACTACAGTGGTGCCTCGCTAGACGATGATAATCCATTCCACTGAAATCGCTGTTTAGCGAACTCATTGTCTAGCGAAAAGCATTTTCCCCATTGGAATGCATTGAAACCTGTTTAATGCATTCCAATGGGGAAGAATCGTCGTTGTCTAGCGAAGATCAGCCATAGGAAAGCCGCTTTGCGAACCGCCGATCAGCTGTTTAAATTTCTGTCTTGTGAAGCTTAGGTCCTGAAAACACCTGTTTGCAAGCGCAGAGGGAGCTGTCAGAATCGTCATCTAGCGAAAATCGATTTTCGAAGCAGGGACCAAACATTGGCCAGCAAAATTCCCCCATAGGAATCACTGTTTTGCGAATCGCTATAGCGATCGCAAAAAGCCAATGTCTAGCGAAAAAACTGTCATGCAGGGTAACTGTCTAGCGAGGCACCACTGTAATTAACCATTTGGGCCATGCCTCTTTAGACTTCCACCAGATTCCCTTGGGAGTCCACTGCCTGAGTAATCATCTAATCTAAAAAGAAATGATGTAGCGCTGCTTTTGAGTGATGTGTGACACTGCAATGAGTCCTGTTTTTGTTTTGTTGTTGGAGAGAAGAGTACAACACATTAAACAATGAAAGAGAGGAACAGTACTCAGAAATACAAATCAGAATGAGATATCTCTAACATGTTTGGAAGTGTGCACTAGAACATTTCAATTCCAATGGAGACTTAGAATGAAATGCCTTAACATGTTAATTTGGTTTCAGGACTGGGTGGTATTGTAATGCACAATTTTACAATTTTAATGTGTCATTAATTACAAGCCATGTCTTGAAACTATAGAGAAAGAACTATTCAAAAGCTAGAAAGACTAGCGAGACAGCAGTTGCTTCTGGTTTGGACTGCAATCATTATTGTGGTAATAAATAGAACCTTAAAGGCAGCTGCTGTGCTTTCTGAGCCAGATTACCATTACAGGAAGTGGCACTGGCATGTCGATGTTTAAACAAGATTATCTGCTGACAAACAAATCTGTAAGGATAAAGATTTTAATACATGGTCCTAGAAACTGTGAGGCTTAATTGTGGAGAAAAATTGTAACATGTTATGGACATTTAAAATTTCAGTACCTTGGATCAGATAATTTCTGAACAAAGTTCTCATTTCCTCAGAAAGCAGATTCTAGATTCAACATGCTATGCTTGAAATAGCATATGATTGTTATTGGCTTGAATTTGTTGATAGGTTCTATTTCCTATATTATAACAAAGTTAAAATGCACCAAACAGGATATATTTCCAGTGATCTGCTTGTGAATGCATAATCTTCAAGGAATATGTGCAATCCAAATAAAAAGTATAATCTAATTCAGATGGTGCATATTTTTACCCTTCATATACAAAATTGTGGGTTTTTAAGGTTCTTTACTTCATGCAGATCAGTGGCTGCTAATACTCATTCAGCAACTACAATTATACATTTTATTCGAAGTTCAGAATAGCAGTTACCCTTAGGAACTGAGGCTCTTTCAAATATTTAATCTAGGACTACAGATTTTGTTTCCTTTCAGTCATTACCTATAAGCTTCTTTTTCTAATGTATTGTAATATTACGTTATTTTTAAATTTTTAAAGGTCCTAATATTAAATCTAATGTGAACCACTTGCAGCTGTTAGATGGGTTTTGGACATAGTGTGGGAAGAGGAACAAGCTTGTTGGAAATATATAGTAAATGTTCTATTTCAGTAGAACAACTTAAGAAATGGAATTCAACCTAGATAAAAAAATGCCTTTCTGTCAAAATGGCTTTATGCAAGTTGCCTGAAAGGAAATTAAAGGTATATATAGAAGACAGCATTCATTTCTACAAATTTTGTGCCTAATTAGTGTAGGCAGAGTACAAAATAGTTTTGGACAGTTTCACAAAAGTAGATATCCAAATGAATGTAATGTTTATAATGGGATACTTGTCATGTATCAGTGGGCCGGTATCCAAATGACAATAATAAAGATGAAACCATAACAAGAACAGTTGTTGCACATGAACAAGTTAGGGTTAAGCATCAGGTCAGAAAAGTGATCCTTGCAAAAACCAATGCCTAGCATACAATAATTTAGTTAAATTTAAAAAGAAACATATACAGTAAAAGGCAGCACAGGCTATGAAAAGCAAACTAATGGAATAAAACCTACAATTGTTAGCATACATAATGGAACAGTATCTGCAAAATCCAGGCCAGAAAAATTTTTATGGGGAACCTTAAGAAAATTTTGAAAACATATGAAGGGAGTTGTCTTTTGTTTGATAGCTTTGGAGATTTTGTTATGCATTTTGTTATTCAGAGCCCACATGTCTTCTGTGGAGGCTGCACTTGTAGGAATATCACATTTTCTCAGCACTGAAACTCCAGCTTTTCTACCTAGGGTAATGCAGTATCTCTTATTGTACATCCAGCACTATTCCTGCTCTAGAGTTACATCGTGCCATTGTAAGGCCAATCTTGATGCATCTTCCTTACCTGATGCTACCTCCTCACTAATCTTAAGTGCTCCAATGAATGTCAACAATGCCACCATATTAAACAGTGCAGCTTCATATACATCTCTGCCAATAGAAGGCCACAGCAGACAATTTTTTTTCAATAGACTCGGGGAAATTGGTGTCCTAGAGTCCTTAACCCGATCCTTTTCCTTACTCCAACCTTTGATCATTTTCTTGATACGAAGATTGAATGCTTAATCCTTGTACCCGTGTATCCTAGCGTAAAAAGCTAGAGCTGACAACCTGCCTTTGAGGGAACCTGGAGCTAAGCTAAGCCTTTCCTATGAGGTGACACTAAGAATTGTTGTAGGTGTTTGACTGGAGCTGCCCATATCAGGTCCAGTCCCATGGCTCTCCTGAATGCCTGAAATCCTGTACTCACTGCCTGGTATGCCTTCTGCATCCTCGGAGCTAAAGACAAGCCTATTGCTCTCTCTGCATCATTGCACAAATTTGCCGAACCTCTCCCGGGAGCTTGTCTGGATACTCGCTGGCAGCTGAGTCTAATTCCCTGAACCAAGTGATCTGTTGGCATGATAGGGCATCAGTCAAGCTGTTATCCAAACCAGGAATGTGTTTTGCTTGGATTAGAATGTTAAAGTTTAAGGCACGTAGCGCACGTGCACACACCAGTGCCATAACATATTCTGAGCATGATGTGAGGTTGTTCACAATGTGAACCATGGCCTGATTGTCACACCAGAAGCATACTGTAGAATTAGCCCATTCATGCGCCCACAGCCACAAGACATCTACTATTGGGGAAAATTCTAAAAAAGTGAGATCCCTGGTGGTACCTTGTTGGTGCCATTCTTTTGGGCAAAGCCCGGCGCACCATCTCCCTTTAAAATAAATTCCAAAACCTAATGAGCCTGCTACGTCAGTCTGAACCTTAACCAACTTAAGTTGCATTTCAGACCTCCAGAAATATACACCATTAAATTCCTCTAAAAACTGGCTCCACACCTGGAGGTCCTGCTTCATACCTCTGGTGACTCTAGTTCTGTGAAAAGGGTGGCAAAATCCCTTCATAGCCTCACACAAACGTCGTAAAAATGTGTGACCTGGAGCAATAACCCTACATGCAAAATTCAGATGACCTACAATCTCTTGGAGCTCTTTCAGAGTCACTTTCTTGCACAATAACAGGAGCCGAATTCATCCCCTAAGGGCATCTAGTTTGTCATCTGGCAACCTAGATGCCTGCTGCCTAGTGTGCAATTCGATTCCTAAGAATGTAAGTGAAGTAGCAGGTCCTTCTGTTTTCTCTTTGGCTAACGGCACTCCCAATTCCCTGGCCAATGACTGAAATGACTCCAAGATGAGTTTACACTACTCCATATTAGCCACAACACAAAAAAGGTAGTCATCCAAATAATGGGTGGTGCTTCTGCAACCTACCCTACATCTGAGCTCCCATTGCAAAAATGAACTAAATTGCTTAAATGCAGCACAGGAAATAGAACAACCCATTGGCAGGGCTCTATCAATATAAGTAATAACCCTGAAAATAGAAGCCTAGGAGGTCAAAGTCTAAAGGGTGGACTGGAAAAATGCAAAACACTGATTTAATGTAGCATTTTGCCAGTTCCGCCCCAAATCCACATCTACGCACCATACGCACCACCTCATCAAAAGAGGTATCGCATTCAGTATAGAGTTTCTGCAGGATGGCATCATTCACCGAATCCCCTTCTGAGTAAGATGATGAATGAGCCTATAGTCACCGCTCTTCTTCTTGGGTATAACACCCAGGGGTGATACCCTAAAGTTGTCACGTTCCCAGGGGTTACAACAGCAGAGTCCGATAAGCCACTCCTATGTCCGAAGTTCAGAGAATGCAGAGCCGATATCCAAATATCAAAGTCAACTCACACAACATAGTCCAGGGTCAGAGTCCAAAGCCAAAACACACAACATAGTCCAGGGTCAGAGTCCAAAGCCAAGGGTCCAAAGAACAAG